TTTGGTATTATAAGACGTCCACAACGACCACATTAGGACTATAAATAGCCCATACATGGAGGTCCCACGGCCGTCAATACTAGACGTTCATTAGACGTCAAAAAAAGACGTCGCCTGGCGTTACAAAACAACCCCTTCAGTGGACCAAAATTGGACGTCCAAAAACGACATATTAAAGATGTCATTCCAACGTCACTATGCGCAGTGGGTAATGTCGTTCGCTGAAGGCAGGGGTATTCAACTAAAATTTAAAGAGGTCCAGTTAGAGTATATTTCTTTAAGCAAAGGTCCGGAAGATCGTTATGTACTATTTAGTGTGATATATATTTAAGTAGCCTTTTAATTATATCAATATTGCATGTAATCAATACCTATCAAATAAAATTAATTCAGTACAATTCAAAAAACTTTTGACAATATTTGTCACGTGACAGAGAGCTGAATATATATGTATGGCTTCCGATATGTATGTTTTCTCATTTACGAGTTTTATTTTAAAAGTAGGGCTGCATTTCAAAATGGGATAAAATAAAATGTGAAAATTGTGCATGTTTGAATAAAGTGTTTAAATTAAACCGTAAAATCCTAATACAATCGTTTTTATGTCATATATGTTAGTGTTCATGAATTTAAGTATTGGTTTCGATAATCCCACACCGGTAATAAAATTTAAGTCTGGTTTTAATATAAATACATACGAACTTCAATCGCTTTTAGAGTAGGATATCGGCGGTCATATTATTTCAAAAATATTATAAAACGTGACATGTTTTTCTCATAGTAGCTTTATATTTGTCGGGAGTAACAACAAACGGAATGACAAGCCGTTTCAGGAGAAAACAGCGCATTTTACTTTCATTTCAAATAAAACGCGAGGTTGCCAACTTCGGGCAGCTGACTAGAGTGAGATTTTCAATTCGAGATGTCTGCACACATGTAACAGTTCTTACCTTGTAAATAGTCTGCTTTTGTATTTAACTGTGTAAATGCACTTTTGACATAGCTAATTTTAGGTTTATAATGGAATAATATAGATTTGCCGTAAGATTTCCTGCGCGAGTCTGAAAGCGTGAGTTTCATACCAGAAGCTTGAGATTTGGCAACCCTGAAAACGTACATTTTTTTTGTTTCACCCGAGTTGATTTATATAACAAATAACATTACTTTATACAGTTGTTAAAAAGCGGCAACTTCAACGAACATGAAATCACCTGAAAGTGAGGAGAGTTGATTTTTGGCTCTATACACTTAATAGAATTGTAGCCTTGATGTAATTATATTGCTGTTGAAAATGCTAAAATAGAATGGTTGCACTTCCTGCTACTGATAGCCCTTGAGAAGTAGGCTATGTTTTCAATATTTGGATTTTTTTTCTTGATAATGGGTATATAGCCCTAAGACCATTATTGGTCTTTTTCTTTAAACATATTTGAGAATTTCAGGTGAAACAATTAACAGTGAACAATAGCAAATAAAAATATTACAAATATTTTTATTTTAATATTCAGAGAGAGCAGGCCTGGTGGCATTATTATTTTTGCACTAATGGCACTCATGATTTGACAGACTCAGATTCCGGTTAAATAAACAATTTTTTGTGTTTCAAATAAGAGTGAAATCTGTGTCTTTGTGTACTGCACAGTCCGACCTTAATACCATTCTTTAACATTTGTTTCATTTCATCTTGGTTAACATAATGACTTTCAGAAGTCGAAGGGAAACTTTAGACATTACACTTTGCACTTTTAATTTTAGTCGACTAAATCAACTGTAGTTTTTGTCGACTGTAATCTTATGATAGACAGTCGACTAAAACTAGACTAAAACTAAAATAATTTAGATGACTAAATTACATTTTAGTCAAAAGACTGACTAAAACTAAATAAAAATTTGCTGTCAAAATTAACAATGATGACAATATCATTATAATTAAATGTATTAATGTTTATTATTAATATTAAAATAATTAATAAGAAATCTTTTAAATGTAATTATTATATAATAATAATTACTGTTACTGTCTATCATTGTCTAATGTATTTTTTTTTACTGTCTAAATATATGTCTTCAGCTAGTGTAAACATGCAGGATGCTATCACAGCAAATGCGAGGCTGAGACTGAAGCGTCACTCTTTATAAAAATTCTTGTACTCTAATAACTGGAACTGACCTGTGCCAGTGTTAAATTAAGTATTTCAGTGTTTATTTCTGAGTAGAAAACAACAAAAAAATTAAGGTAGAGCAACTTTATTTGAATGATGAGGTAACTTAATATTTCAATGAATATTGAATTAATGTTAAGTAGGTATTACTTAATTTAGCTTTTGGATATAGAAGGAAAAACATGTTTATTGTGCTTGATTTAATGGTGTAACTAACACATGCATTAAGTACAACCAATATGAAAATTCAAATAGTGCCCACTGAATATCGAGTAGATTCAACTTAATATAGGTTTTAGTGTATTTAATGATTTCTGTTGGTGTAATAATGATAGTTTAGTACTAATTACTTAATAATACTGAATTGAGACAGTTAAGTTGGGACATCTTAAAAAGATCAATGCAAATAGTTAACACACCTTTTTGAGCAGACCCAATACATTCTTCTTTTGAGTGCATGATTAGAAAGACACAGAGCAAAAATGCTGTCCATGGGAGAGATACAAGGCAGAAACTACTGCTGAATAAGAGGAACATGAAGGCTCATCTAGTATTCACTATAAACACCTTGATTACCCCCAACACTTTTGGGAAGATGTTCTGTGGGCTGATTAGTCAAAAGTGGAGCTATTTGGAAGACATGGGTCCTGCTACATCTGGGGTAAAGCTAACAGCTTCCACACAAAGAACATCATGGCCACAGTCAGACATGGTGGAGGCAGTGTGATGCTGTGGGGATGCTTTGCTGCTGCACGGCCTGGGCGACTTGCTGTGATTGAGGGATGCATGAATTCCGCTGTCTGCCAGAAAGTACTGAAGGAGAACAACTGGATCATGAATCAAAACAACAATCCAAAGCACAAAAGGAAGTCCACCTCTGAATGGCTGACCAAAAAAACCCCACTAAGGCTTTGGAGTGGCCTAGTCAAAGTCCTTACTGGAATCCCTTTGATAAATTGTGGGAGGACCTTAAATGGGCAGTTTACATCTGAAAACTCTCCAACATGGCTGAATTTAAACAATTCAAACCAAAATTTGTCTACAGCGAGGGTGGCAAAGGGTGGCAATTAAGTGTTATGGATAAGCAAACATAGTGGAAATTGGGGCAAATACTTTGTCACAGTATGTAGCTGTATGACTAATGCTTTTCTCTCTACCTTTCAGCCAAACCCCGTAAATATGTATATTTCTCAGGGACTTTTGCTCTCCCTCTCGTGAATTCTGTTGCCCTGGCTGTAGCATTAAAACTCAAAGCAGGTAAATATACTAGAACTTTGAGATGTTTCTCTTGCAATTTTACTTTTACTGTAAACTTAACCATAGAGATAAATCTTATAAGCCATTCAGGAAATATATGGATTCCTGTGGTTTAATATCTGTCACATAATGTTCATTTGCTGACCTCAGTTCTCAGTAATTTTTGTGATGATGTCATTTCAGACACAGGAAAACAGTCACAGGGTCTACGGCTGACTGTCCTGATTTCTGGGTCTGTCTTCCTCTTTAGCTGCTTTGTTATAGAGATGTCTGCATACTGTAAGTATAACAGAGATATGATGCCTAACTTACCATAAAAGCTGAATATGTGTACTGGGACTTTTCCAGCATGTTGGTTGCTTTCCCGTTATTATTTACATCTCCACATACTCAGCACTTAATCAGAATCATAAAAAACTTTATTGATTCCATAAGGAAATTTCTAGAACTGAACAGACAGACAGACACACCATTAGACACGATGAACACTATATAGTAGGAAGGAAAAGTAATATCACAAACAGAAGTTAAAGCGAATTAAATAAAATATAAAATATAAAAGACAGATCATGTATCAAATAAACTGCAGTATAAACTCCTTAGGTAACACCTAAGGTAGTCGGTAACCTAGGATTATAACATGATAATATTAATATTGCTCATTGTGTCACAGTATTTCACAATCAGCAAGACAGCAAAGTTACTGCACAAATTAGTGGCAGCCAGCCAGTTATTGCACAAATTTAGAAGCCTGTAAGAACACATACCAAAAGACAGCAAATGGAGGGGCAGAGAGGGAGGGAAACAGCTTATTTTGTGGATGAGGGAAGTTTGGAGGAGTTATAGAGTCTGATGACTGTGGGGAGGAAGGTTTTCCTGTGGCGTTCAGTGGAGCACTTCATGCTCGTCTGTGTACCGCTGAAGAGGCTTCTCTGTCTGGATGAATATTATATTTGTAACCACATAATGTTATTTATTCACTATATAATGTGGCACAGGATGCAACATTTCATAACAGATATTGCTGCTTTAATTGTTTTGAGCTTTTTCATTCTGCCTTTATGATGCTGTTTCAGTGGTGTGCGACTGTAATGGCCTCCTGGCCAGTAGGGGGCACCGAGACTGTAATGGGGAGCCCTGACTATTACAAAGGAAGGGAGATAATATAAACATCCCCAGTGATGCAAACCATGTGTCTGCGTAATGCAGAAAATCTTAATGGTGATTTACGGTGGCCCCTAGAGACAAAACACAAACAAAAGAAAAAGCAGAAACAAAATGAAAATGCGCTGCAATTCAAAAAACACAAACAAAAGAAAAAGCAGAAAAAATGAAAATGCACTGCAAGTGAAAAAAGACAAACAAAAGAAAAAGCAGAAACAGAAAGAAAATGCACAGCAAGTAGACGATCCCAAACCGGAAGTGCTCCACGACGCTAGGGGGCGCGGTGAGCTCATGTGGCCCAGTCGCAACACAGTAGTGATGGGAAGTTCGACCGAGTGTCCGAGAGCCCATTCGATGAATGAATCGAACTTACGGTTTTCGGACACTCGGTCAGTGACTCAAAGGAACGGTTTGCGAACCGATCCCAATAGCCCAAGTGGCGTTTACTGCGGAAATGCAGTTACGCTGTTGAAACGAATAAAATAAACGCAGCTGTTCACAGGGCTGTCAACTTTGGTCAACTTGTCGATTTCAGACAAGTCCGCACACGCATTTACACCTATGTGACAGTTTTATTACCATGTAAATGGTCTGTAGGGTTTGCAAACTACCCCAACGCTTTTGATGCAGCTAATTTTAGGTTTATAATGTAATAATATAAATGTGCCGTAAGATTTCTTGCGCGAGCGTGAGAGTCCGAAAGCGTGAGTGTCACGCCAGATGCGTGAGAGTTGGCAGCCCTGGGTTCATCATTTATCACAACAGTAAATTATTGCATTTCTCCATAATAAAACTATATGTCTTTCATCAAAAACCAAAGGTATTTATTAACTTTGATCTTTACACAACAACGTATGCAAGTTTTCTCATGCTCATTGTATGTGTATGTGTGATTGTATTGGTAATATTTCAATTGTTGTTAACTGTGATGTAGTCCTTGATACTCATGCACATGAATTTGGCTAAAGAAAATAAGAACTATATATACACGCGTGTTTATTCAGCATCGACACCCTTTCTGCTTTTTATATATTGTTTTTTTTATTGTGAATAGTCAAGCTGAACATTTTTGTTGAACACCAGCCCCATCTTTCAGTGAAATAACGTAACCGATCCGATCCCATGATTCGTTGAGTCATACGGTCAAGCGCAAAAAGAGACGAAAGAAAATAGTGAATCACAGAATCGATTTTATAATTGATTCATTACAACGGACAGCTCGAAAGAATCAAATCAGTTAATTCAGTCGAACTTCCCATCACTACTGTGTAGCGACTAGGCCACATGAGCTCACCTCTGCTTTTCCTTTTGTTTGTCTTTTTTCACTTGCAGCACATTTTCATTTTGTTTCTGCTTTTTCTTTTGTCCGTCTTTTTTGAATTGCAGTGCATTATCATTTTGTTTCTGCTTTTTCTTATTTGTTTTTTAATTTGTAGTGCATTTTCATTTTGTTTCTGCTTTTTCTTTTGTTTGTGTTTTGTCTCTAGGGGCCACCATAGTCATTAATCATTATTAAATACTAATTATAAATATGCACATAATCATTAGTTCTCATTACACATTATCATTACTCATTACTTACAAGTTGGCAGATACAATAAGCTCCTATTGTCTTAGTATTTTGAGCTCCAACATTGTTAATTGAATCTTTTTTAATTATAGGGTTGGCCAAAAATCAAAAGTAAGTAGACTTCTTTTTCTACATAAATGTGCAAGTCATTTTTTTCTGATAAAGTGATATGAATGTACAAAAAAATTCATCCATCCATCGATCATGGTGAACCTGACACCTGACAAAGGAAGCACAGGGGACACCCTGGGCAGGATGCCAGTCCATCACAGAGAACACACACATTCACATATGATGGGACATTTATAGATGCCGGTTGGCGTAACTGTATTGGGACAAGAGTACCTGGGAAAACATGGGGAGAGCATGCAAACTACACAGAGCCCAAGCCGGGAGGTGTGAGGTGCCAGTGTCACCCACTGAGTCACCACGCCAACTACACAGAGCCCAAGCCGGGAGGTGTGAGGTGCCAGTGTCACCCACTGAGTCACCACGCCAACTACACAGAGCCCAAGGCGGGAGGTGTGAGGTGCCAGTGTCACCCACTGAGTCACCGCGCAAACTACACAGAGCCCAAGCCGGGAGGTGTGATGTGCCAGTGTTACCCACTGAGTCACCGCGCAAACTACACAGAGCCCAAGCCGGGAGGTGTGATGTGCCAGTGTTACCCACTGAGTCGCCATGCCAACTACACAGAGCCCAAGCCGGGATGTGTGAGGTGCCAGTGTCACCCGCTGAGTCACCACGCCATCTACACAGAGCCCAAGGCGGGAGGTGTGTTAAATATTTAAATGTATTGGAACTAGGGAATATATGTATGGGAATATACCGGTATTGGGAATATTTTAAGAATCAAATATTGATATTGTGTTTGTAATACACATATGATAATATCGTAAATCATCCAGTGCCAGTAACTATCTGATTCACACTCCAGTATAGAAGGTGGCCATATTCATGCTGGTTTCCACCAGTTCTTAATCTGTAAACTCTGAGGCGTTGGAGTTCATAAAGAATAGACAGCAACGGTGACTATCATTATATGAGTAGGTGGAGCACACTGAATGATGTGACATACTGACTCTAAATGATGTCACACTGACTCTGAATGATGTGTCACACACAAAGATAATGCATTATTATTATTATTGTTTTCCCACCCACCCATTAACACTTAATCCCAACTGGTGTCACCAGAGCCTATCACAGGAACAATGGGCACAAGTAGGGAACAACCCTGGACAGTCACCAACAAACCACAGGGTGTGTGTGTGTGTACACACACTTCAGACTTGCTGACCAACCTACCCTGCACACTTTTGGCCCAAGGGAGGAAACCAGAGCCCCCAGCAGAAACCCACACAAACACAGAGAGAGCATGCAAACTCAGGACCAAACCCAGGACTTTCTTGCTGAGAGGCAGCAGCGCTAACCACTGTGCCACCCCATGTGGCAACACCTGTTTGTTACATCAAACTGAAAGTCAGACTTACCTGATTAGATGAGTTTAATGGCTCAGAAGAAAACTTTTATAAAAGGAATGTCGAAAGGAAGATCGCATTGGAGGCTAAGGATGAC